GATGCTCCGAAAAAGGAATTGGGCCATAACCTCCTGGAGTGCACTGGATCCAACTTACTCCATTTCAACTGACACTCCGACCAGGGCTTTGAGTACTGGCTTCAATCAAGTTGAGGATTTCAACCTAGATCTTCAATCAAACAAATCCCATCTAACATGGACTGGAGATAACCCATTAGAGACTGTCACTATACTAACATTTTCTTCCCTCAGGACCCCACAAGGCTACCATCGTCCCATTTCATCAGGAAGTAACTTGGAAGATGCTACGCCCCCGTTCCCCATTATTGTCTATTAGGGTGGTGTAAGGTTGGACACCCCTTTCAGATGACTTTAGGGCTTAGCTGGAATAGACATAGGATGTGCAATAGCAGATTATTGTATCTTCTTGTATTTCACCTTTATGATTGTTAATTTTGGATGTTTTACACTATTAAGTTTTAATCCTCTTTTAGACTAAAAGGGGAATTGTAGGAAGACACTATAACCACGAATTCTAAGAGCTGGCTACAGGTGTGCTTAACCTTGCCTGTCAGGGCATGGTCAGGGGAGGTTCAGGATGATGAGTAGGGAGTTCTTAAGGTGCGGCAGAGACGTGGGAGCTCTCTCTCTCTCTCTATCTCTCTCTCTCTCTCTCTCTCTCTCTCTTGCTCTCGCTCTCTCTCTCTCTCTGGCCTCCCTAGCTTGCTGCCTCTGGCTTGTGCTTGGCCAATATTATTTGAATAAAGATAACTTAACCTGCAATCTCGAGGTACACAGGACAGCCAGGACTACACTGAGAAACCCTGTCTCAAAAAACAAAACAAAAAATACAGAAAGTATGATGGCTGCCAGCAGCAAGAGGAGACAGATGTCAGGAGGTCCAACTTAATGAGACAGGGTTTCCCCAGATGAAGTGGAGGGAAGTTGAGCAAGAATTCTTGTGCTGACAAGACGGTTTGGGCAAGCCTGGCGGCCTGAGCTTGATCCCAGGACTGAGGTAAACAAGAGAGAGAACCGACTCCCCAGAGTCTTCTCCTGACCCCCTTCAGCACCTCAGCATGTGTCCCCTCACAATAGCAGACAGAGCCTTTTAGGGACAACTTGTCCTTCCAGATTCTGAACAGACCATTCCCTTATGTTTTACCTGTCCTAAATAATCTGTCCACAAATGTAAGTTGTTATTTATTTTTCTACTGTGGAAATTAATCATGAGAAGACATATTATGTGAAAACAAAACATTTTAACATTCATTTATTTTTATTTCATGTGTTTGAGTGTTTTGCCTCCAAGTACAAATGTTCACTGGGCGAATAGGCCAGAAGAGGGAGTTGGCTTCCCCAGAACCAGAATTATGAGTGGATTTGAGTCACATGTCTGTGCCAAGACTGAACTCTGGTCCTCTGTCAGAGCAGCAAGCACTCTCTCCAGCCATCTCTCCAGCAGAAAGCAAGGGAAAATTGTCTTAAGTAAAAGGTCTGATATTGTATACAAATAAATAAATAGGAAAATTTTAAAAGTAACTGAAATAACCCTTTACATTTGGGGCATTAACTTGTTACTGCAGCATGACCTGACTCACCCTGACTAACTAACACCAGGGGGATGAAAGACAGGAAAACATTTTCACAGCTTCTTGGACATGAGCCATGGGACAATACAATCCTCTAAGCTGAGAAACTTTAAATAAAAACAAAGCAAAAACCCATATGCTAAGAAGGGCAAAGTGGGCCGAGAAGTGGTGGCGCATGCCTTTGATCCCAGCACTCGGGAGGCAGAGGCAGGCAGACCTCTGTGAGTTCCAGACCAGCCTGATCTCCAGAGTGAGTTCCAGGATGGGATCCAAAGCTACACAGAGAAACCCTGTTTCACAAAATAACAACAAAAACAGCATTCTTAGTCCCAGAGCTAAGGTCTGAGGGTTGCCATGACTTTGAAGCCAACTAGGCCATCTTGATCTCAAAACACACACACACACACACACACACACACACACACACACACAAAGTGCCTCTGAATGGTTCCAGCTCCCATTTGCTCTGTTTTGTCCTGTGACTCTGGCATTTTTTTTAAAGGTTTTTTTTTTGTACATATGGATATTTGGCCTGCATGTATGTCTGTATACTACAAGCATGTCTGGTGCCTGAGAAGGCTGGAAGAGGCCATCAGGTTTCCTAGAACTGAAGTTACAGAAAGTCATAAGACACCATGTGGGTGCTGGGAACTGAACCCCGGACCTCTGGAAGAACAGCCTATACCAACTGCTGAGTCATTTCCCCAGCCTGAAACTAGAACTTAAATACGTGTGTGTGTGTGTGTGTGTGTGTGTGTGTGTGTGTGTGCTCACAAGTGCAAGTGTCTACAGAGGCTAGAGATGGGTGTTGGATCCCCTGCAGCTGGAGTCTTAGGCATCGGTGTGCCACCTGGTATGAGTGGTTCAGTGCCAGCCCTGTGATGGAGCAGTGTCTTAGTTACTATTCCACTGCTATGGTCAAACACCAGGACCAAGGCAACCTGCAGAGAGAAAGGTTCCCTTGGGGATTATGGCTCCAGAAGGCTAGAGTCCATAATGACGGACGGTGCGGCAGCATGGCGGTTTCATATCTAGAACCACAAATGGGACACAGAGATGGCACTCAAAACAGTGAGTCTTTAAACTCCCAAAGCCCACCTCCCGTGGCAGACTTCCTCCAACAAGGCCACACCTCCTAGCCTGTCCAAACCCCACCACCACTGGAGAGCGAGTATTCGCATGCCAGAGACTACAGAGAATACTCTCACTCAAACAAGCACTCCATGTGCTCCTAACTGGGAGCCATCTGTCACCTGGCTCCCACGCCCAGCTGAAAAATCTGTCTTAAAGATTTATTACTTATTATGTACAGTGTTCTGCCTGCATGTACACCTGTACACCAGAAGAGGGTGCCATATCTCATTATAGATGGTTGTGAGCCACCATGTGGTTGCTGGGAATTGACCTCAGGACCTCTGTCTGGAAGAGCAGTCAGTGCTCTTAACCTCTGAGCCATCTCTCCAGCCCACAAAGCTGAAATGTAATATTATGCAACCTAAACCATACAAGGAATGAGAGAACCAGGATCCCAAACACCTTCCAAATCTGTTTCTCATGTGTTACCTAACTGTCAGTCTCCCAATTAATCCTTCCTAGGGTTGTAGGTCACCCAGTGTCTAGAATTGGGCCCAGAAATGGGCTGTAGTTGCCAGGGACCTAAAGAGAACCCTTCTACTGAGATCAAGGACAGAGCTCGCTCCCTCAATATGAGGTACATTTTTCAGTGAGTACCTGTGAACGCGTGTGTGTGTGTGTGTGTGTGTGTGTGTGTGTGTGTGTGTGTGTGTGTATGTAGGTGCACACATCACACATGCCATGGTGTGCATAAACAAGTCAGAAGACCACTTTGGGTGCTGATCGATTACCTTCCACTGTGAGGTAGGGGGTTTCTTTGTTGCTTTTCCAATGTATATGCTAGGCTAACTGGCCCATGAGCCTTAGGGATTCCTCTATCTCCACCTCTCATCTTCCCATAGAATTACAGACACTCAGTAAGTATCTGACTTTTATATGAGTCCTAGGGACCCATACAAAAGCCATTTGTAACGATAACTCATCAATTAACACACAGAGACTTATACTAGTTACAATACTGTTGGTCAATGCCTTTTATCAGCTAACTCTGCCTTAAGTATTTAACTCATGATTGC